TACAACAAGCAAAAAATACGCTACATCAACTAAAACTCATCATTAATCGATCTTCACACCTCCCATTCCCAACAGCCATAACCATCTACAAAACCATAATTAGACCGCTCCTCCTATACGTCTGTTCAGTGTGGATCTCGTAGAAAAAACAAACATTAACTAGCTTCAAATAGTCCAGAACCAGTTTCTTTGAACTATCACAAATGCTCCTTGGTTTGTCACAAACTCACAGCTCCACAAATAATTCCAAGTGGACTCCATACAACACCATATAATGTATTTACACCCAGTTCTATCATTCCATACCTCAAAATCCTCACTAAGCCAACTACAGACTTCGGAAAACTTCTCACAGAATCAGAATTAAAAATAGATATCCATATCATGCATTCCTAGTCAAATTTTCCGAAATAGATTGTTTTAGAGGTGTCTGCAAAAGATTTCCTCACCCAAATTAGTTTGAAGTTTGTTTTTAGGTAAATTAGAATGCAAGCCTTCACAACATATGCATAGTCCATTAAAAGTACTGATCTACGTATGCTTTGTAATAATAACATTACAAAAACAGCTATTTATTACATCTATAGGTTAACAATAGCTGCTTGTAAGCTTGTATTTTAATAATGTACTGTATATAGCTAAAAGCGAAGTATTGAATGGCTGATCTATAAAAACCATATATATGTATAGTAATATGCGTAGTATAAAGTTGTTTAATGCAGCGGAAAATCGATATCGAGATTTGAATGAAAATTCACGTTTTTGGGTCCCCTAATATGGTAAAGTGTTATTTTTATTTTGCTTTTCAAAACGTCCATCCTTCTGCCCATCTGTCTAACCGTCTGTCTGTCCGCTGTCCGTCCGTCCGTCGTGTGTCAACAATACTAGCGCCAAAAGTATGCATAATATTTTTTTCGAAATTGAACACATATGTGTCGTTCTGACCTGACTCGAAACTCGGAGATTTTGAAAAGCATGCTTTAAATTTTCGGTTTTTTTACACGAGGTCCTTATGATATTTTTAAAAAATTCTCGAAAATGTTTTAAATATCTTTGATTAAATAGAATGTAAATTTCTTGTCAGAATAGAGTGGAATACACTTACAGAGATGGCTCTCTCTGAATTTTTGAAAACGGCAAAAATTTGAAAATCTTAGGCGTCTTTCTACAACTAGAAAATTGAACAATTTTACCTCAAATGAAAGTTGTTTTCCGCAATTAGTTCTATAATTAATAACGTATGAATTTTTAAAAAAAAAAATTAATAGTTTTGGCGCAATTGTGAGTAAAATATGTGCAAAATGAAAAAAACTAGTGGTGCTTAACTGCACATACATTCTCGCAATATTTATGTAAATTTATAATTTTCGAAAATTCAAAGACAATGACACCGGATCCATTCTTTCAAGCATCCCTTCTTCTGTCTGTAGAAAGTATTTAAAGAAAAAGTTGAAGCGATTTTTGAGAAAAAAAGTGTTAAAAGTTTCTTTTAAAATTGCCTTATTTTAGAAAACTTTCCTTACTTTCGAAAAATTTAAAATCAACTTATTTAAAGATCTCTCTTTAAGGAATAGATTCCATTAAAGAAAAAATCTTCTATATTATAGTCTAAGAAAGACGCCCCAAAAATTGCATTTTTGCAATTATCAAAATATTTCAGATATCAATAAACGTGAGATCGGCACCAGTCCCTTAAGTGTCTTTTAAGTTATCCAAAAGCAAAGATTGATCGAAACATTTGGTGCCATTTTTGAGAATTAAAAAAAAAGAATGTGTGACAAGATGAAAAAAAAGTCATGTCAAGTAACTACAAAAATCGAAATAAACGTCAAAAACAATCGTTTGAAACTCTCAAAGCTGAAGTTCATCTAGACCGAGCGGGGAGTATCAAGTTTTACGAAAATCGGCTGAAAGGTGCACAGTGTTGAACACAGACAGACAGACGGACAGAGGAACGTATTTCCGTCAATCGATCTTTCGGTATCAAGGACCCTCAAAACACGGATTCTGACTTCATCAAATGTTCGAGGATTTTTATTCTCTATTTAGCAACCAGATTTATTCATTTTTTTGTTACCTGGGGCCCAGCAATAAGAGTTTTTCTGTCGAATATTCACCGTTTTCGGCGCACGACAACATAGCTTTCCTTTCTAACGCGGTTCCTTCGTAAGAGCGAGAAAGTAATTACAAAAAAATCTAAAAAACGGCTCCAAATTTTTTCTTTAAACTTTTCGTAAGGATAATGCTGTACGTGGTGTATACGATGACATAACCGGCATTTTGTTCTATTCTTTTGTATTTCCAAAAATACACCAACTGTAAGTTTTTTCTGGTCGCTCATGTCATTAATATGTACATTAGCAATTAATGTTATTTATTACATTTATGAGTACATGTCCTTCGAATAATACCTTATAAAGTTTCTCAAAACTTAAATGTTTTCTGAGAAAAACAAAATTTCGCATTTTCAGAAACGCTCAAACACCATTTTCTCAAACATGTCTCCAATTTTTTTTCTTGAAACCTTTTGTGCGGATAGTGCAGGACGCACTATTTAAGATGACATAAAAGACATTTTGCGCGGAAAATTCGATTTTATTATTTCGAATTTCTTCTATTCATTCCAATGTCACAAGTTCTTCACCGATTATAAATTATAATAATTTGTCATTCATAACCGGACAAATCGCTTCCGGTTGCCAGCATCGTGATTTCATCTAAAAAATAAATCTGGCAAATACATCTGCAAGAAACAAAAGACATTCCCATGATGTCTCATGAACAGAGCTCGCATTCACATTTATGAAGTATATTTTTCTGTATGAGGAGAAAAGTACGTATTTTACTTGAAAATCCAAGAAAAATATGCCTCATTAAACACAAAAAAATAAGTATAACTTATGTATAACGGAAATATGATGCAATTAACACGAATGCACTAATATCATATATATAATATCATTGAATTTCTCTTCGCTTAACTCTGTCTAGTGAACATTTCATAACTAGCATTATTTAGAACACATAAATTTTTTTACACTTTTCAAAAACTTCCGGATCTTAATAAGAATAATTGCATTATAATTTGAAACAGCTCTATTGCTATTTTGCAAACTGCCATGGCAAACAGGGCGCGGGAAATTTGAATTTATAATTTCGACTTATTTTTTCTATTTCCAAAAATACAGTGTGTGCCCCGGAAATGGGACCAACGCCAATTTCTTTGCCATTATTTGCTACATACGCGAAAAAAATTAAAGTAAAAAGTTAAAGTAGTTTCTGGAAATATATTGACAATTTAAAAATTGAATATGTTTTAAGCAAAATTACACAAAAAATACTTATATTTTCGAAAAAATTAACAAGATTTTATTTGAAGATCTGGTTTTGATGAACACATTTCATTAAGTGGTTCTACAAAAGCACATAATTTCTCACGTTATTGGAACCAGCTTTATTGCCTGAAGATTTTGAATACAAATGAAATACACGTATATAGAACATGGGTAATAGAACACAAAGTTACAAGAATTGTACAATGATTTAGTATAATGAATATGTGGATCATGAGTAAAATATTGAAAAAACTAGTGTGATATTTTGTCCTTGTGGTTTAATACGTACAAAACAAGCTTCTACAATGCGTTGCATTCAAATTCGAAAGAGAAATCGAAGTGGTAAGTGGAAGAGAAAAATATATTTCGTGATAGCTTTACAGTGAATCATAAAGCTTTATATTCCATTCAATTTAAATAGTTACGTTTGTAATTGTAATACAAGTAGATAAGTTTGTAATTAGTGAAGGTATTTTCCTTCGTCTTAAAGCTCCATCTCATGAAAAGCATAAGTTATCTCACGAATTTTTCACACCAGTCGTGTTATCATTCAGTAAAACTCAATAAGGTAAGAATGTATCCAACGTTGTGTGTTCTTCATACAACATATACTATTAGAATGCGATAAAATAAAGGTTTTACTACATATGCATGTAGATGTGTAGGTGTGTGACGCTTCACTCAAACAAGAAACCTTTTAGTTCTGTTTTGATATTCACGTAAGTAAGGTTATTAATGCCGTTCCAAAGATAAATATTTTTGTAACGTCATTTCGAATTTCAAATATTTAAACATTATGCATTTGTAGGCGAGATACCCTTTTTTTCTACCAAAAAGCATTTTTTTAAATTGTCAAAATTGTATATTTAGTGTAAATTAAATGGCACTAAGAAGGACTAAGGAATAAGTTGGTATGCCTACACACAATATTCTTCTTGTTCGTGAGACTTTTCTTGTGGATATATACCAGAAAAATAAAAATTTTTGAAACGAAATATTGTAATATGGAAGGAGAGTTTTAAGACTAGCTATTTCGTGTACCTAAATTACCGTCTTTCCACACTATCCCACTTTACAATTCACACTGTTTGTTTTTTTCTTATCCACCTGCTTTGTTTTAAATGTCATTTGTTTTCCGTTACAATTTTAAAATTTGCGAATTTTTTAGTTTAAATATCTCTTTAAATTTATTTTACGGCTACATTCGGTTTGATTGACGATTCTCACCAGCTGGATGGTGAGATTTGGCTCAGACCTACAAGTCAGCTTGCAAGGGACTCGCTGTCTTCCCCCCAGCTGAGCAATGTGACAGACGAGAATTCCCGACTGGTCACTGGAAGTATGTGGTAGTATAATGCACGTAAGTGTGTGTGTGTGTGTGTGTGTGTGTGTGTGTGTGTGTGTGTGTGTGTAAGAGGAGAGGATAGAAGACGAAGGAAATATCGCAGGCAGTCTATGACCAGTTTGACGATATTGCTCTAGCATTCGTTTCATCGGTTTTATTGACAGGAGAAACCAAAGAAAACTTTTGAGCAACCGGACAAAACTAGGCTTCTCCTCTAGTCAGCGGCGGACTTCGGGCCAGCTATAAAGCCAGAATCGAAAATTCCGCCCGTGTTGGCAGTCGAACCCTAGACTTTTGCTGTCAATGTCGCTGCAGAGATAGTGTCTGGACTAACTGTGAAGGTAACATGTTCGTCTTCTCGTGTGCTTTAGATTAGACAAAAGTTGAGAATTAGTTTTGTATTTTATTTATCAAGGAATCATAAAGGAAATGTTTCAACAATGTTATTACGATTAGAATATACTCGTTCATTAACGAAGTTACAAGTAATAAGAACACCATTTTTTTCTTTTTGTTCTTTTGTACCAATAAAAGGCATTCTTTTGAAAATTCATCATAATGAATATATTGTATTTTACTACAACACTTTAGTAAAATATATTTGTGTTTACAGCTGTAACAATTTATTATTATCAAGAGTGGGTCATGTTTTCCTTATAGCAACAAGATCCATTGTATGATATTAATCAATCATATATTCTATAGAACCAACTCTCTGAGTATTTTTGTGGAGTTATCGATTTCAGATGAGTAGTTTTCGTGAGTGCGCTCCGATTTCATTGTGGCGACTTCCGACGTTTGATCCGCTGGACGCGGTTATCCAATCGGGAGCTTTGGTACGACTTAATTTTTAGTAACGGAGCTCCTGATTGGACAACCAAGTCCCAGCAAGTCGTACACCAGAAGTCACCGTCATTAAATCTGAGAGTAGTCGACGTGATCGTGTTGTGGCAGGTCGGCCTTCGATAGGTCTGGAACGAGACTCATCTTCATAATTTCGTTTCGTGTTATTGATCACTGGACCTTTCCCAAAACGCAGCTCACACCGTGGCGGAAAACGTTGCATTTTCTGCCCCCAGCGTGAGTCTCGCCTGTAACAAACACAAAGACAAAGTGTATTTAATGAAGTACAACTACTTTCAAGATACCTAACTACTATGACATTTCGGTAATGCAATTTAATTGAGCTTACGTATAATATCAGCTACAACCATTTTTGCTCTTCGTTGGCTATTTATTGCCAATTATACAAAAAATTAAGATACAAATTAACAATCACTCGATTATATCAATATAACACTATGTGTCTACTGTAAAGTACTGCCTAATGTAACAATGTGTGTCTACTTACTCTCCCTAAACTCGGCATTCATTATTTTTTTTACATTGTTACTCTTACATTTAGTAATTTTTAATATATGATCTAAGAATTCACTAGACTGACTCACTCGTAATTTAAAATATACGGTTATTACAAAACCCAAATAATTAAGCAAAGAACGTGCATCTACGGATATTGAATAAGCGAGTGTCGAAAATCTCGCCTCCGTCGGGACTCGAACCTAGGACCTCCCTGTCAGAGGGTCTGCAGTGACATTAGTTGATGCCTGAGCTATCTCCCCCGGTATAATTTGTATTGTGTACATTTATATCTTTATTAGTTACAATGAATTGTAATTAATGTAAAAATCAGTATATCTAATCAATGTATATGTAGTTAATGTAATTTTGTCGCCAAGTTAAGAGACGAGGGGCGTTGACTTATGTTAAAGAAGATTCTGATTTCACCAATTTGTGCATCGGACCTCAAAACTGTAGCGGGCTGTGTTCGCTAACGCTGCAAGTCTGCGATAGCGCTTCAAGTGGAAATACGCATATTGTTTCGGAAACATCAATGCTGTGGTTAAATTCGATTAGAGGAGTCGAAGTCGATTAGGGAAACCTACATATGTCGGCAGAGCGGATCACATGCTCAAAATTCAGACAAGAATTCAGAAAACGGTCGTTTGGAGGTCAAAGCGGTAAGGGAATGCAATTGCTTATCAGCGATCAATTTGATGAGGAACGAGCTCACATGCTTTTCCATTAGAAATATATACTGTACCGCGATCGATCTCGCGAGCCGACCGACAATATTGCAGCGCACTCGCTGATCGTAAATGGCGGAAGTAAGCCCCGAGTCTTCCACAGCAAAATGCGCACATAAATCCAGAGGAATTATTTGCGGCTTATTTTATAAGGAATACGCTCGCATGATTTTTTTCCCATTGTTTTTCCATTTTCCAGGTCGATGTATATAAGAGCGGTTAACTCCGTCACCGTGTGACTGTTCTCCATGAAAGTTGGCATATTTACATTTTTCACCCAGGAGGTTTATGTGCTCTAAATTTAGTTGTAACTCCACTAGATGGCGCTGTAAAACAAAACAAAATATTCATGCCAAATGCAACCCGCAACACTCGGCAGTATTTAAAAAATCTATTTCGTTAAATAACTCATAAACGAACCGTTCTATATCATTGAAAAGTAAAATTAAAGGCTCAAAGAAACGTATCTCACAACGTAATCTGCTAACAATGAATAATAGAATGTAATAATCTACTAATAGAATGTTCAAGAATATGAGATCTTCTCGAACATTCTATTACTTTTTGCTGGTACGGTGCTTATCGATTTTATCCGACCTGCTCAGAGACGTGCAGAATTTGCAAGTAAATGTGAATGAGAGGAACCGAGAGAGAGAGAGAGAGAGAGAGAGAGAGAGAGAGAAAGTGAGAGAGAGAGAGGGGAGAGAGACTCAGAGGCAGAGTCATACAGGCAAAGAGAGGCAGACATAGAGAGAGACAAGGAGAGACAGAAAGGGAGAGACGGAGTGAGACAGTGAGGGAGAGACGGAGAGGGAGAGGGAGAGACAAGGAGAGAGGGAGAAACAGAGAGGGAGGGAGAGACGAAGAAAGAGGGAGTGCCGAAGAGAGAGGGAGAGACAGAGAAAGGGAGAGACGAAGAGGGGAAGACGAGGAGAGGGAGAGACGGAGGGGGAGAGAGGGAGAGAAGGGGAGAAAGGGAGAGACAAAGAGAGGGAGAGACGGAGGGGGAGAGGAGGGCAGAGAGGGAGAGAGAGTGAGACGAATGGCAGAACGCAAGTCCTGCAGGAAGCCTCGAGCCCCGCCTCGTCAACCAGGGAGCGAGTGCCTTACTGTAGTGGCTGCAGTGGTGCACGAGCCGCTCCACATCCGCCACTTTGGCCGGGTCGGCCGCGTGCAGCAGCTTCAACAGCTTGACGCGCAGCCCGAAAGAGGTCGCCACGTACTTGCCGTCCTTCCACATGCCCAGCTGCTCCATCACGCACTCCCCCAGGCACTGCGCACACGACGCACAAATAATTAAATAAATACATAAATAAAATAAATAAATAAATAAATAAATAAATAAATAAATAAATAAATAAATAAATAAATAAATAAAATTTTGTAATGTTGTACCAGTAAACTACCACGAGTATTAGCAGAAGAAAAATATTAAATTTCTATAGTTTAATATTTTGTATTATTTGTAACGTACTATTTACATTCAACATTCTTCATTGTATAAAATTTGGGAGTACTCTTGTATTACTAATTATATTATTATTGATGATAATACCATTAATATTGTTTTTTTATTATTATTATTATTATTATTATTATTATTATTATTATTATTATTATTATTATAACTCAGTGAATGTGGACTCAACTCAATGGGGTCTCCAATGGAGACAACACTCAGGGCTGATAAATTTTGACGGTCCGCTATAAAATCAACGTCCATTCTGTCCTCATTAGCTCGGAACCAAATAGCAGGAATGAGCGTCTCATTTTTTTTCAACATTTATTCTCTTTTATGTTCACGAAAACAATAAAAAGTTGGAAAGAAAGCGATATTTAATACTTTAAAATTGCAATTTACGTACAATGATTTAACAATCCAACCTTTCTTTTCTTGGAAGGGTTTTTAACAAACACGCAGAGGAGTGTATTTGGTTTAGTATTTTAATAATTTCTACAGTTTAACTTGTGGTAAATAATAGTCGCTATAATAAACGAAACCTAAAAATGTATTACTAAAGCATTGACTACCAAATAATACGTATTACTGCATACCCATTCTATGTTCCTTTATAAAGACTATTTTAGGCATCACTAACAACACACACACGACACATTTAATTCAGTAAGAAAGTCGTAGGTAGACGTTTGACACTACCAACCTAACGGAAAACGATCGTCAAGATTTTCAGTACTCCAAAGCATTGCAGTTGCGCATCTAGTTATAATGTCACTGATATAGCCTGACCAAGCGGAGTGTAAGACTAACTAACAACAATGAGGGCAGCACTGCACTTTGTTTCGCTTCGGTGAGCGAATCGTATACTCAGTGCAAGTGAAAACTGAAGCACTGATCTAGAACAAGGCCCGAAAACGTATACATGACTCTCTTGTAATGTCATCTTATGACCGTGACAGTCCATTTAAAATCACGAGGAAATGCTGACGCGTTTGATAATTATATTGATAAATACTGATAACCATATAATAATGGAAATATTTTGTGTTCCTAAAAGTAACCACATATTCCAATGGTTTACACAATAAATTCCACGCAATATGACGCCAAAAATGGCATTTTAGATGAGCACGCTTCCTGAGTAATCATATTCCCATTAAATGTTATTGTTATTCATTTTTTTGTAATAAAAAGTGGATTAACAGGTGACTATCTTGCCACTCGATGGATTTACAATGTGCATAGAAATGAATGACCTGTATCTCAAAACGTCTACACTATAGCTAATGCTCATCTCTAACTGACCCTTCGCCATTCATAAGTAAGTAAAACTCTCACTAAAAAGAAGTTAAATCAATATGCACATTTTTAAAATGAGTATTAAGACAGATCGTCCTTTTCAGGCTATAAGGTATTATTTTACAAATCGAGTTTCGTTGATTTAAAATACGGAGTAAATAAATACATTTATTTAATGTTTTATTGGAATTTTTAGCTGAATGAGACATGAGTGTAATTGCCAGTATTTGTGAAATGAAAAAAACGACATGTGGTGATTATACGCTGTAAAAGATGGAAAGAAGTTGATCGTCACATAATACAGAAAGAAACAAATGACAACGAATTATGGCTAGAAATATTATAATTCAATATTGGACAGAACTGGTGAAAAAAATAACAATGTAACGAAGAATTAATCAACTTAATTTTCCGTCACAGAATGTACTCAAAGATATCTCACCTCCTTTTCTTCAGTGACGTTTTCCACGCGGAGGTTTACAACATCATCTACATCAGCTGAAAAAGAAAAAAACACAGGCAAAAGTTAATTTTCAAGCATAAATTAATACATGAATTAAACAGATGGTCTTGAATACTCTACTGGAGCATTTAGAGGGCAAAGAGATCACATTTCACCATTAAATATGAGGTGGGAAAGCTCATACACCGAAAATATACTCATACTTTTTTTTGACAGCGCACCCAATTGCAACTCATCATCTTTGGCAGGTATTCATACTAGTAGGAAGGTCGCTCCCAGAGAATTCATTGATAGATAGATTCACTGGTATTTCTGAGCTTGTCAAAAGCTAAGGTCATTAGTCCCGTACGTGTTGAGGACGTTTTAACGCAGGCGGTAACAGTGATCTCCGCTGGATGGTGAGATTTGGCACCGACATACACGTCGGTTTGCGGGGGTTTTCCCCAACCAGGTATCTCCCTCCAGCAGGGCACCGCCCTAGCCGTGACAAACTAACCTTCCGACTGATCTCACAGCATGTGTGGTACTGTAGTGCATGTAAGTGTGCGTGTGTGAAAGTAAGGGGAAAGGATATGTTAAGGAAGGGGAAGGAAAGATCGCGCGCGGTTCGTGGCTCGTTTGTTACGGTACCGCTCTGGCATTCGCCTTCAATACAGAATTATTAACATACTATTTCTCTTAACTGACATTTATATATATATTTATTTTTATATTTTTCAACATTGTACTGAAATTAAAAGAATACTCTTTAAACACAAACAAATGATCAAATCTGAGCAGTCAAATAAAAAACACACATGACAGCAACGTGAAATGTAACTTAATATTTTACTTACTATTATTATAATATATTTGATGTTTTGAATGTTTTGAAACTTTTTCTTCCTCATGACGAGAGTAAGTATTTCTCTTCCTCGAGTGATTGAACCTGAAATGGGAACTGGTTTGTCTTACCGTCTGAGCTTTTGAGGATCTCCTTGCATAGGCGAGCGTGAGGCAGGAGGGCCTTGCGAAACGCCTCTGGTGTATCTGCCTGCAACACACATTTAACGCCAAGTCAATAACACGGACACACACAAACACGAAGTCAAACCCAAAGACTTGACACGCATTTCTCTAGTGTGTCGACGCGCTGAATCCGAATCTGCAGTCAGAATTGCACCGCCGACCCTCACTTTTATTTAAACGCAAAAATCCACCGTGACATTGTATTTTCTTTGTTTTTGAAGGTTTTTGTCAGACCCAAACACTTGAAACCGATTTCTCTATGAATATAGACGCGCTGAATTCGAGTCAGAATTGCGTCACCCCTCCCCCCGTTTTTTTATCGCACAATTCATATTTGGACTCAGCGCTCGACACATAGAGAAATATGTGTGAAGCCTTTGGGCCTGACAAGGTTTCTTTTAGTGCCTGCTTAATTGACCTCCTCTGAATACAGATCGGTAAAAATGGAAACAAATTTTATGGGATTGTGTATCATAATTGTCGTAGACTGTCAAATAATTTACATTAGAGCATAATATTGTTTCATCCATTTTACACTTGTTTTTACACAATTACAGTTACAATGTTACACACACATACACACTAATATGCTCACTTCTTCAGGTAGACATTATCTTACGTAATTTTGGTTAAAAACATTACTTTTGAGACTAATATGAGGATACTGACTAGTACTAAAAGTTAATAAATCATAAGCTTATCATGTTTAGAGAATTAATCGTCAAACAGGTTCATATCTAAGAGTGGAATTTTAACACATCAAAGCATGATGCCCCCGAACGTGACCATAGCTCCACTTTACGAGAACTAAAATGTTGAGAATTGAAGTGTTGACGCAGTAAATTCATACATTCATATACACATAAACATATACCTACATAAATGCTCACTCATATTTATTAATAGGCATATACAAAGTACTAGGGAAAAAAGTCATACATAACACATCAATATAACTATACTATAACTTAAGTGTGGAAATGCTAATGATGTGGGGTTGACATTTTTCAAGAATCAACAATGGAAGTTGTCTTAATCAACGTATATTTAATTATTATTTTAGTATTAAAAGATCTAAGTTAACAAAGATTACTTTCGTTATTTCATCCACTATAACTTACATCTTCAACAAGTTATGAGCTTAACGCTGTTTAACCTCGAATTTACTCGTGTGTAAGTTGCGCGCGGATTTCACAAGATAATTTAAACGGGATTGCTGGAAGAATTTCTCACGCGCATTTATTGTCTGAGAAACGCCGTTCATTAAGGGGTAATCGCGAATAATGCTTTTACTCATATGGAAATTTGCGGCCTTGATTTGTGTAACAATGTTTAGAAATCCTCAACTGCTTTCAATTGGATCAGCAAATTTTGATTTGATGTTAACACGAAATATATTTTTGTAAGAACTGATTTTATTTAATACAACGGTGTTTCAATTTATCTAAAAGCACTATTCTATTTTGGAAAATGTCAAGAATAGGATTCAATTTAATTTTCTATGTTTAAAATAGTTTTTCGAATACTATTTTACAATGAGAGCTTTTATAACTCTGTAATTAGAAGCACATTTTCTATTTTAAATATATTTCTATTTCAAAAAAATTAAAATGTATCTAATACTTTTGATTTAAATATTAGTATTAAAATATTTGTATACGTTTTAATTTGGAAACGCTATTACTTTGCATTGATTTTATATTTCAGTTGTTATTTATAATTATTCATTTGTTAACTTCATTATTCTGTTGTTTCAGGATGTCAGTCAGAGAGGTTATAATACAGCACGATCAGAAAGGATACAATGCATCAACTCTATTATCTTTGCATAGGATATAAAACTCAATGTCACCGTTCCTCATTGCACACCAAAAAGGACAAACCATTAGATTTAAGTATGAAAACTGGGGTAACTTAATGGAACCCATATGTTCCGAAGTGAAACAGATCCGATAGTTACTGTGATTATATTACGGGTGTAGTACTAATCAGGATAATTTGAACACGATTAATGTGATAATTAAAAGAATTTCTTGAAACCGGCCCGTAGATTCGGTCTCCTAGAATAAGACCGCTCCCCATAGCTCCCCGAAAAATAAGCACTGGTCCTCAAATTAACATTTAAGTCACTGAAGTTTATTTAACAGTATCCCTCATTGTGGGGGATGTCCAGATTATTTGATTTCTTGAAAGCAAATGAATAGCACTCCTGATTATCCAAGTATATTTAAAAACAGATAAAACAAACGACAAAATATGTATTAATTGACTCGTGGTGTCCGGCATATGCAATGTAACTTATTTCATTTTCAGTGAACTGTAATCATCAATGTCACATTGAATATATAAATCAATAAATTTAAATAAATTAAAAATAATGTAACAAACTGAAGAAAATAAAATGAAATAAAAATACAAAAATGAAAAAATAAAATAAAGTCCCCGATCTGTGATGGGGACTTCCCTTTCTGCTTGGCACTCACAGTCACCGCAGCGACGACGAAAAGAAGAAGAACGCAGGCACGCATGATGATTCGTGGAATGGCTGTCACTTGCCGTGGCCGCGCGCATACCCCGGTATTTATACCCACGCCTCATCACATCAGCAATCGGCCGCGGAGACCGTTACTAGTTTAAGCACGGGACGGCCGAAGTCTAGCGCGATACCCAAACGACGCAGGAATTCGGAGTTTTCAAAACAAGTGATTAGCGGAACCGAGAGATTGCCGGGAAGTCCCGTGCAATTTGTCTATAGAATCACGGGACATGGAACAAAAGTCAACGCTGGTACAGTTCTTTCTATGTGGCTGCAAATTACTCGATTGGTTATTTCGAGTTTCATAGGGCAACAAATGATAAGATTATTATTCTCGTAAGTTAAGTGCATGTTTTAGTGACGGGAAGTAGCGGTATATTCCGTCGCTGCATGGTGAGATCCGGCGCCAGCACACAAGTCGGCTGGCCGTGTTTTCCCCATCCAGGCATTTGCCCACGGGGAACCGTCCTCAAGCTCTAGATTCCCCACTGCTCTCCTAGCAAGTGTGGTAGTGTAATGCATGTAAAGTGTGTAAATAAGGGGTGAGGAGAGGACAAGGAACAGAAAGCGGCCTGTGGCCTGTTTGTTAGGGTACTGCTTCGGCATTCGCCTGGTGTTGATCGGAGAAATCATAGAAAACTACCGATCAGAGCAGCCAGACGCTAGAATTCTCCACACAGCGGATGATTCCGTTGTTGCTGTTGTTGTTGTTTTTTTATCAACATCTGGCGAATGCCGGAGAAGGACCCTAACTTATTGGAACACGGGCCGCGCTAACATTTCCTTACTCTTTGTTCGATTCTCATCCCTTACTTAAACACACACACACACACACACAATTCATTATAGTATATGTCGGGAGCTTAAGAGTTTGTCCCGATTTGGGATGTGGGAAGAGATACCTGTGTAGGGAAAACCCCGCAAGGCGACGTGAAGGTCGGTGCCGGATATTACCATCTTGCGGAGAAAAAACATTTCCACTTCCTCTGATAACATCTACATTAAACTTACGAGTTCTATTACCACAGTAGTTGACAAACAAAATAATCAATCAACCGCACCCGTAAAACCATATCAGGGAGTTTCTGAAGATCCATCCATATACATAAGCAGATCTGGCTATTGTCACGTGACGCCTGGAACACCAATCACGGCTTTTGTAACAAACATAAGCGTTAACTGGTAAGTGAAATTTCATAACACTCCATGGCTCGCTTACGCCTTGGTCGATGGTTATAAGACTCTGTGCGTGTGTGACCCTCTCTCCCCCTCTCTCCAGCGTTTTCTCAGTTAATAATTTCAAATAACATTCCTGTATCAAATACTCGTAAATTATTTTGTAAAATGGTTCACGTCAAAAAAGACCCCAACCAAGAGTCAAAGTAAGTCTTTGAGAAACGGAGTCGAAGGGTTAAAACATTGATGTTTCTTCAAACGCATCGATGTTTAGAAAACATCGACTTTCATGTCCATCCCTAGTGCCAGACGAGATGAGGCCACCTGCCGCCTCTCCTGCGGGCTGACCCGTTCCACACACCACACGGGTCATCGCGACCCGTTCACAACTGGTTCCCACACAAACTTTGGGTTTGTAATACTGCTCTACTGAGACAAAACAGATACATATGAATGTTGAATTTTCTGTACCACAGTAAAAATTAAATTTCTGAATAATGTGAAATAACAGAAATATTTGTTTTCGAAACACGAGTATTAGATTTATGCATTTGAGAGGATAGACCGCCTTTGAACTTGGCATCTTCAATTGCAGAGGCTGAAATTGTCTACCTAATGTTTCTACTTCCGGTTATATTTACATGATTAACATGTCTGGTCATAAATTCAATAATTCTAGCTGAGCAATAACATTTGCCGTCTCTCCCGCAGGCTGACCCGTTCCACGCACTGCATGGGTCATCGCCTCGCGTCCACAACTGGTTTCCAGTTTCCATACAAGCTTAGCTTTCGTAATACCTTTCACGTCACGAGGCCTACCGTTGTTTATGTTTTAAACTGTGATGTCCAAGGAATAAACATTCTTTGTTCGAATCCAATTTCCACAGTTGCTCTCCTTAGACACAACTAACAAACAGACCACCAAACCAACAAACGAACGAACAGATACATATAAATATTGAATTTTTTGTATCAGTTAAAAAACATGGTCTGTCTTAATAATGTGAATTGGAAGAAATATTCGTTTTTAAAATACGTGTATATGATGTCTCAATTAAATTATCCAAGATTTATCCACAAATCTCTTTCTTTAACTTTTGCAATGTCAACGTTTTGCAGTTTTTACAGAGTTTTGTCAAAAATAACTAGTTTTATACTGTCCTTTGATACACACGAAGAGAAAATGTAAAGTAAAAATTCGGGAAAGTTGTTGATAAAATAATTGTTAAAAACTCGGCGATACTTCAAACAAAATTACTTGAAAACCACTTGTTTTCGAAAAATTTCACACAATTCTGCAAGAACTGGCTTTAAATAATAGATTTCATAAAAATCGTTATTTTCGATATTGCAGTTGTAGGAAGATACACCTCTACTCCGAAGTGAGAAAGCAAAACGTTAAATGTAAAAAGGTTTCCAGTGTGGAACAGAGAGGCCTATGTAGAAACCATTAAGGATTATGCATTAAAGATTAAGGACTGAGAATTACGGACCTAGAGATAGGAATAAGCGAAAAGGAATAATGCAATAAGGAAATAAGGAAAATAAAGGGAGATACAGGAATAAGGAATAAAGAAGAAGGAAGAAGGAAGAAGGAAGAAGGAAGACAAGACAAAAGACAGGAAAGAAGAAGAAGGAAAAGGAAAGCAAGAATAAGAATAAGAATAAGAATATAGAATAAGGAATAAGGATAGGAATAATGAATAAGGAATAAAGAATAAGGGAATAAGGAAGTGAAGGGAATAAGGAATAAGTATAGGAATAAGAGATAAGAAATAAAGGAATAAGGAGAATAAGGAAATAAGGATAAGGAATAAGAATAAGGAAATATGAGGAAATAAGGAATAAGGAATAAGGTAATAAGAGGAAATAAGGAATAAGGAATAAGGAATACAGCGAATACAGAAGAAGAATAAGAATAAAAAGGAACTGAAGGGAGAGTGAAGAATAAGGAATTAAGAATAAGATAAGGCAATAAGAATAAGGAATAAGGCAAATAAGGAATAAGAATAAAATAAGCGAAATAACCAGAATAAGAAATAAGAATAAAATAAGAATAAGACAATAAGGAAAAGGAATAAGGAATATAGAGAATAAGGATATAAGAATAAGCAAATAAGAATAAGGAATTAAGGATATAAGGAATAAGGAATAAGGAATAAGTAAGGAAATAAGGAAAAGCGAATAAGGAAACACTAAGAATAAGGAACAAGGAGATAAGAATAAGGAATAAGGAATAAGGAAAAGGAAAAGGAATAAGAATAAGAAGGAATAAGGAATAAGAAAAGGAATAATGAATAAAGAATAGGAATAAGGAAATAAGGAATAATGCAATAAGGCAATAAGAATAAGGAATAAGGATATAAGAATAAGGAATAAGGGCCCATAAGGAAAAGAATAAGCATAAGAATTAAGGAAAAGGCAATAGGGAATAAGAATAAATACAGAATAAAAGAATAAGGAATAAGTGAATAAGGAATAAGGAATAACGGAAATACAGAATAAGGAAGAATAAGGAAAATAATGGACCGACCCCACTAAGGCAGATTAAGAAGCAATGGAAGAGACAGAAGGTAAGAAGGAAGAAGAAGAAGGCAAGAAGCGCGAAAGAAGGAAAGAAGGAATAGAAAATCACACGGGAAGTCAGAGGGCAAGAGAGAGCTAAGGAAAAAGAAAAAACGGAAATAGAAGGAAAGAAGGAAGAAGGAAAGAAGAAGAAGAAGAAGGAAGAAAGAAAAGGAAGCGCCAAAGAAGAGAAAGCAAGGAAGAAAGGAGAAGGAAGAAGGAAGCGAAACATGAAGGGAAGATAGAAGAAGAAGAAGAAGAAAGGAAGATAAGATTGAAGATGAAGATGTTAAGAAGGCAAGAAGGAAAAATTAAGGAACGAAGGGGTAAATTAGAAGAAACATAACTCTAGCTTTCGTGGTCGTATTCATAATCATTCCCGTGTTCAGTTCATATATCAATGGGTGTTGAAATTTGAATAAAAAAGCCCACGTAGTGGCAAGTCACGACGGTTGAACTATGAGGAAATAAAACGATGCAGAACTTCGAGTCTTCGAACCACTCGACTACAGGTCTATCTATCTAACTAAATTACTCTTACGTGCCCTGACAATAATATCTATCTATCGATGTATGCTACGACGAGCATCGACACTTTCGACTATTTACTTCGTACACAGCATGCGTCTGTGTTATCACTCGCGCGCGACTCACGCGAGTACTGGCTTGGCACATGACCAATATGCTACACACTCTCTGATCAATTCTCTCTCTGTATCGAGCGAGGAGCGACCTCAGTCGTGTTTGCTTCATCTTGAGTCTCCAACTCTAATGAACATAAACCTTTATATAATTATTATATATCTCTGCGCAGACTGAGCCACACGCCCGTGGCATGTGCCCAAAATTTCGAGCCACATAATATATATCTGAGTGATCTGCAAGTGTATCCTCGAATCACTCCCGTTGAATACAATATATATGCCGAGAGAGTACCTCACAGCTCACCACTCTGCGATCTCACCCTTCAGCTGATCAGCTCCCGTCTCATAGACGATCCGCGACCGATCTGTGAATGCACCCGTGTCTTGCTAATCACTGAGAGTACATCTATATCGTCATATCACACACATTACATGTCTCACTCACATATCAGAGCACAGCAAATTCACATCTCAAAGAGATGGCGCCTATTAGTCACTAGACAGTATCTCAGCTCTTCGATTCGAAAAGGACAAGTATGTGTTCATAGCCTACGATTTTTTATCGGCGTTGTTGCTTCTAATTCCAGCCGACATGCGTTGTCTATATTGCCAGTAGCTTCGATGTTCATTGGCCATCGCTCACCATTGAAATTTTTCCGGTTATGGTGTGTCTGGCTGGTGTTCGACGCGTCGGGGGATGACGGACGCGCCTCTGTTTTTGGAACTTTCTAATGTTTCGTTCTCGGGCCACAGCTGCACGCGTAACCTCCGAAAGGCCTGACTCTTTCAAAAATAATTTATAATCATTTTAGCAATTCGCCACAAAAATTTAGCTGCGTGGCCTTCTTGCGCCTGTTTTCTTTTACTGCCTATTCATATTTTCGAATTTACAAGAAATGAAGACAACTTCTGAAGAAGAATCTTTACCGATTCGAAAAGGACAATGTTGTATATTTTGTACAATTTTATTCTGTGTTTCGTTCAGGCGCCGGACCCGTTTTCATATTGAGCCTATCTTTATGTTAATGGCCATCCGCTCATTTTTCGAACGCGGGGTACGGTTTTGTCCAAAAACTTTGTAATGGTCGTTTCGACCACAAGCGTACCTCCGTAAGCGGAACTGCTTTTCAAAAAATATTGTGCATTCACTTATTCATTCCAGGCAGAAAACTACGCTTGAAGCCTCTATGTCGCCTTCTGTTTTCGTTAACTGCTCCTGAATGTCGAATGAAAGAACGAGACAACAAAACATTCTCTATTATTCCGCCACAAATGGCGCCGCACCGCCGCCGTCCCGTAAACGTATGTAACCTATTTGTCACTCAGGAAACCAATCTTCAAAACCGAGCCTGCCAAGATACGTGTTACAGCAACGAGCAAGTTGCGAGACACAAGCAACATTGCTCCGGAGGCGTACAGGGCGTACCAAAGTTTTTATTCGTCACGAAAATAGAGCTTGCTATCAGTATCATGCGAAAGACTAACTTGCTCCAGAGGGTTATGCTTCGTCACAAGTCTCAGTATGGGAATCATTATGACCCTATGGTTCCGTGGTCCCTGATACCAACGCCGGCCATTCATCTTTCGATGGATTACAGCCGCGCGAACGCAGCGAGTGGAGATTCAAGTCGGTCTGGCCTGCGGAGGTGGCAAGGCGGCGGCGAGGTTGGGCGGGAGAGGGCGGAGGGGGCGGGGGGCGGTAGAGAATGAAGGCCACGGCTTCGCCTCCTGAGACGAGTTCGCGCTGGAGGACGTTCGAACCCCACGCCTCCCAAGTGCGGCCGTAGCAGAGCAGTTGTGTTGCGCGGGCGGAAGTGCGCGAGTGTATTGTGTGAATGTGTTAGTGTTATTCGTGGCAGTATCGGCGTCTTTGTGCTATTCAGTTGTTGTTTTTTCTGTTAATCCATTCGTTTATTAGGCGGTGTGCAGCTTCCCTATTGGACCACTGCTGGTAAGGTTATTCATACTTAAACGATCGTCATTTGCTCATTCATTCATCTCTTTACTCATACATTCATTTTAATGTCATTCATCTGATTATTTATTCTTTCGTACATCCATTCACTTACTTGTGCATTCTTTTATTCATTAATAATTTATTCATTCAAATGTTAAATAACTCATTCGCGTGTTAGTTCGTAACAGTAATACTTTGGGTTTCGTGATTAAAGAATATTCGAACGACTACAGAGTTTATTCACATTTTTTTCTTATCGCGGTAGCGAAAAACTAAATTGGAACCAACTACTAACAATAGTACAACTCATTTGTCCAAGAGCTGATTGATTCGATCTGTGAGTTACAATATGCGTTTTTTACTATTAGGAAACTTTTTTTCAATTTGATTCATTTATCTCTCTACATCGTTCAATAATAGATAAAAACATTGACTGTCATTTTAATTCACATAATGATATTAAACCTTCTCACGAAATTATTTTCAGAGAAAAGATCTAAGGTCTTATTCATAAACTCCTGATGAATTTGTAATAATATTAATATTCTAATATGCACTGGTGAAAGTACTGAACTGTTTCACTAATGACGACCACATTCAGAGGAATTTTGAAATTCTCGCAACCATCATAGACTCGGTTATCCGTACCAGAAATTCTTACGAAAAGAACATTCTTCCTGGTAGTGTAAAGTGATTTTTTCCTTTGCAGTGAAATCAATTCAGTCGTTAGTAGATATAAGTATACTCACTTTTTTTAACCTGCCTCTTTTATCAACAGAAATTGTCAAGAAAGAAGGATTGTGCTAACATTATTTTATAATTAATTCGGCACGTATTAAAAATATGCATTTGGCAACTCGTATTCAAGTATTTGCTTTTCTACGTTTCTTCAGCAAGAATATAGCAGAGATGAACACATTTTCTATTGTACCGTAGTTCTTTGCTCGAATACTTTCAGATAATAACAAACTAGAATTACGCGGAATGGTTAACCTTCCCCAAAACCTACTTTTATATAGTAAGATGAAAATCAGATTCTACACGTACTGGAGAATTAAATGACGTCGTATACGATAAACCTAGTCCCGACGTGGACCATGATTGTATACACTTTTAAATCACTGTCACTCAGCAAGCTTCGATTTTTATTGCTTTAAGTAAATTAATTCCTTTGCTTCTTCCATATTTACAAACTTCATTCATAAACTACAATTCTCGGAGAACATTTTTCAATCTTTCTTACGTTATCCACGTCAGGAATAGTTTGTTATTCGTAAGGTACTACGTGTCACGATATTTTGCTTGTTTGTTAAAAAAAAGTGACAAATTGAAAGTTTTATACTTAAATTATATTTCAAGGTCTTGGATCCCAAAGGATATAAATGCATTAGAAATGAAATTTGGACCTCTCATTTATGATCTTTAGCCGATCGGTAGACGAGGAAATACACAAGTGCCAAGAAATTGCCTTGCTGTTAACGGACGAGAAGTTGCACGCAGGAATGGACTTACACATGAGCACAGAAATGACATTCCTACAACGGCGACATTTCAGGGGCGGCAACGATTATGGCTTAAAATTGCGCCTACAGAGCCTTTTCTTCGTCACGTGCAATTTTTCGTTTTTTAAAAGTTTCATTCTATTGTTTTTTAACAAAATGATTAAATACTCGCAAATTGATTTATTAACAGGCCGATAATACATTGTAGTCTACGAATTATTTACATTTCAAAAGTCAAACATTTAAGATTTAATTACAAATACAGAAAAGAAGTTTCATGTAACATTAATTCCAGTAACCTTAATTCCAGTAACCCAGAAATTCTTAGACGTTACAATACAGTGTTGCTAGATCAGCGGACTTTTCACCATATTTAGTGGGATATTAAATTATTTATATTATAAATTTTAGAAATTACACATGTTTAAATTCATGTAATTTTCAATCTGTTTGAATATGGCTTATTTCGTTCACATTTTCTACTGTATATATCTTTGTAATTTTAAGAATTAAATGTTGAACAACAAGAGAATAATAACTATATATTACTACAGAAAAACCTGAAATTATGTTGTTTCTGTACATAAAAATAGATTATTTAAAAATCAATTCTCATGTAACGAAAAATTGAACAGACGTAAAATATTAATTAAATCATATTTAATTTTAGTTATAAATAAATGTGACCAAGTTTCAATTATAAATAACACTCTTGTTATTATATATTATTTCCTGTGTTATTTGAAAACAATAGGCGGCAATGCTTTGTGCGCCTACAGACAACAAAGTTGTAAATCCGCCTCTGGTTGCATGCAGCGCGCTCACGAGATTTCCTTCAATTGAGATTGCTTGCGCCTGCAGCGCCCTGTGTGCCTGATGCCGCTCGGGGATTCCCAGCAAGTGATCGCGACACCTCTAGTCATAAAAGCAACGGTGACTCATGGGCGGGGGCGGATTTACGTGCAGGCACAAGAGGCAAAACTGCGGCAACATTTTATGGGCGGCAGAAATTGTGAAATAAAATTATCTTAATTAAGAGGCCACTTCGTCGCCGCATGCGATTTTTCTTTTTTAAAATTTGTATTCTATAAATTTTTGAACAAAATGATTAAACACTCGCAAATTAATTTATTAATAAGCTGATAAAACCTTCTGTAATGTGACTAGTGATAAGGCAAAATGAGCGATGTTTACATTTCCAAGTCATACAATTAAGATTTAATTGCAATTCCTGAAAATGAGTATTCATGCTACATCGATTCCAGTTACTTTAATAGGAATTTTCGTCAGATCTGGCGGTTTGTGAGTGTAGTCATACGGTTGAAAAAATAGTTTTAACGATTAGCGGGAAATTTAGTCACAAAGCTGCCCAATTTTTAAACATAAATTATACGTGTTATTATATATAACTTTTTCCTGGCTTATTTCAAAAATATAGGCGGAAAATCAGGCGACAAAGATGTTAATCCGTCTCTGCTCATGGTCAAACTAGTGGTACTACAGAAGGAAACATACTTTCTCGTACTGGTTAGTTTTCGAATTTCTTTGGTCTGGTTCAAACTAGTGGTGCTACAGAAGGGCACAGACTAGTTAGTATTTCTAATTTCGTTGGTCTGGGCTAGCTTCTCGGACTTGCCACACACACTTATTAGCTGCCATCTATCACCACCCAAAGTGCTTTTTTTTACTTTCTCAATTTTTAGCTTTTCAAGTAGTAGAACCGAAATATTGCTTTATAAATAGTATTGAAAAATAAAACCTCCTCTTTTAAGGGAATTTTATTTTAAAACTTTATGGCGGTTTTTATGAAAATGGTGTTTAATCGTTACTGTAAATGTGAAAATTGAAGCTCTTTCTGCAAAAATATGTTGAGTTTTCGAAAAATTTGATTCAAAGTCATTTGAAACACTCCCACTCACAAATGAAATAATATATACAAATCGCTAGAATCAACGACGTCAGAGATACATTTGAAGATTCACAGATTAAGAGATACATTTGAAAAAATAAATAATACAGAAAATAACTTTTATGTGATCTTAAACAATGCATTTAGCACTATCCGTACAAAAAGCTTGTAAAAAGATTTCAGCCGTTTTTGAGAAAATGGCGTTTATGCGTTTCTGAAAATGCAGAATTTTGAATAATTTTCAAAGAACACTTTTGAGTTTCCATAGAGTCATAAATGCAATAATGTCAACAAATCGTCGCTAATGTAAATATGATGACGTTAGAGACAAATCAAAAAAATACAATTTTGAAATTTTTAAAAATTAATATAGAGCAAATTGACGTTTATATCATCTCATACAGTACATTTAGCACAGTCTCGACCAAAAGTTTAGAGAAAATTATACTTGAATGAAAAATCTCTATCGTCAAATTCATAGTTGCAGAAAGACGCCGAAAAATATTAAAATGTTTGCAATTTTCGAAAATTCTGAGTTAACACTGTAAATCGACCCTAACGTTCCTTTTTAAGTGTTCTTCACTGTTTTAAGAAATTTCAAGAAAAAGATTTGAAACATTTTTGAGAAAATTTTGAAAATGTCGCTTCAAGTAAAGTACCCTCCAAAATTAAAGAAAGCAGAATTTCGAGTGTAACCAGATAGACATGGGAATACCCATTTTGAAGAAAAAAATTATATGAATAATTTAGGCGCTAGTGGTGTTCACAAACAGATGGACAGACAGACGAACGGTCAGATGAAAGGACAGATGGACGGACACACGGACAGACGTATTGCAAAAAATTGGGTATCAGGGGACCCCAAAACGTGTGTTTCAATCTCGAAATCGATTTTCCACAGCATTACATAACGAATCTTACATTTCATGTCATACCTATTACTAACATTACATAAATATCTACAAGTATACTACGAATAGTACTCCGTAAAAATGTACATATACGAGAAAGTAAAAAGTGTGTGTTGTGCATTAGTCCCGTGGACACTGTTGTTCTCTTCTGCGTAAGCGTTAGCGATAAAGTAAAATTAACTCAACTCTCACCGCAGGGTGCAAAAGCCTTACACGGCGGCCACAGTGGAGCCTATTTTGGCCGATATTTTGATTGTTCTTTTTTGTCCGACATTCCGGAGTCGTTCAAACATTTGATCGCAAACGGAAATGGTCATAGTGAACTGGAAAAAACTCTTCTGACGGTGTCTGAAAACCTTGACTGTCGGACGAAGAGACCGGGAGAGGTGGCCTAGGACATAAACTGATGTCACTGCAGTGCCTCTGACCGGGAGGTCCTAGGGTTACACTCCACACCGTGGCAGCATTTTCCACACTACCTACACAGCTAGGTTACGAGCGGAGTTACTGGGAGAGGTGGCTCAGGGCATCAGCTGATGTCACTGTAGTGCCTCTGACCGGGAGGGCATAGGGTTACACTCCCCACGGTGGCAGCATTTTCCACCCTACCTACACAGCTAGGTTACGAGCGGAGTTACTGGGAGAGGTGGCTCAGGGCATCAGCCGATGTCACTGCAGTGCCTCTGACCGGCAGGTCATATGGTTACACTCCCCACCGTGGCAGCATTTTCCACACTACCTACACAGCTAGGTTACGAGCGAAGTTGCTGGGAGAGGTGGCTCAGGGCATCAACTGATGCCACTGCAGTGCCTCTGACCGGGAGGTCCTAGGGTTACACTCCCCACGGTGGCAGCATTTTCAACACTGCCTACGCAGCTAGGTTACGAGCGAAGGTACTGAGAGAGGTGGCTCAGGGCATCCACTGATGTCACTGCAGTGCCTCTGACCGGGAGGTCTTACGTTCAAGTCCTGACACTGGCAGAATATTCGACACTAGCTATGCAGGTAGGTTGAATTCAGTTGCTGTCTGGAGGAGAATTCTAGATCCCGACTGCTCTGTTCGGTAGTTTTCCGTGGTTTCTCCGATCTACACAAGAATGCCGGAGCAGTTCCCTAACAAACGGGCCACGGACCGCGCGCGATCTTTCCTTCCTCTTCCTTGTCCTATCCTCACCCCTCCCTACACACATTTTCACTACCATGCACTACACTACTACACATGCCGGGAAACCGGTCGGGAGCTTAAAGCTTGTCCTATCTGGAGCCGTGGCCCTTGGTGGTAGATACCTGATTGGGGAAACCCCGCTGGCCGCCAATGTCTGCGCCGGATCTCGCCACATAGAGGGGGAAGATCACCAGCACCTCCCGAGGAAGAAACATTCACTACACTTACTGGAAAATGTCTTTAGCAGTTGACACACCCACAATCACAAGTAATCAATCAATAAATTAACCAGACGAAGATTTATTTCGTTTGATTTTGTCCGACCGACCAAAATTTCGGCCAAAATCGCCTCTCCTGTGACCACCGCCTCCCTTCTAAATAATAAAAAATGCTTGTAATATAATCCTGATTTGTTGATTCTTCATTGGTTTACTTAACCATTCGAATAATAATTATTTATTTATTGTGATTACATACAATAAATTGGAGGGCGTTGGAGACCGTGGAGACTTATTACCGCTCCCAAGTAATTTTCGCAAAGCCAAAGCCTGTGTGCGAACCTGTACAAAATCTTGCAACATATAAAACTGAAAGTTTTAAATTAAACTACTTTGTACTAAATAATGCATAAATGAGCAATACAAACAAAGCTGATGTCTACACAACACAAAAATAAATCACAAAGTATTGACAAAAATATTTGCAATTTAAAAAAATTGAACACACAATAAGATCAACACACTAAATTTAAACTAGAACATAAAGATCCGTACAATACAATAATAATAGCGATTATTATTATTGTTATTATTATTGTTATTATTATTATTATTATTATTATCATCATCCTCATCATTTCAATAATTTAATGATATTGCAGACACCAATATGTTCTGCTAGTGAAGAAAGAATGGACGGGCAACGCAGATCACTCCCGAAGGACTTGCAGAATGATAGCTCACTGCTGCGCTACAAACTTGGTACATCTGCACCTTAAACTGATTAACTAGTAAGTATGTCATTAACTGTGTAAATTATCGCTCAATACATGAAATTACGTCGTAATTTTAAAAAATCGTTATTTATTAATTGTGTCGTTCAGTATCAGTAAAATGTCTTTTGTGTTTTTAACTGAATGAAAATAAAAAACGAGCTTATGTGTGCATGCCGTAATCTTTCATACTATTACTAATAGAAGTGCAGGGAAATTTTAATCTTCAAACGTCTCTTCTTAACAATTACTTTTAGTCATAACGATATTGCTTTTCATAAGTGGTACGCATGAAATACTACACCGACAACGAATCCCGCATTTTTCCTTCTCAATCGTCGTTTGGGAAAAGTGAATTGGAAGTCAGCGGTATATGTCCTTTGCCAGATATTCTTATTTCGCACTCTAGGGAAAATATTTGTTCACCTCATTCAGTTCCAAAAACAGTTATATATAGCAGTTATATACTTGTAAATATTTGGTATATCCAAAAAACAGTTATGTAAATATTTGGTTCTTTCACTGGTGTTTAAAAGTTAAAAAAAAAATCTGTGCTGAAACAGTACGTAATTTCTCGTCCTAATTTTGACGCAAAATTACGCGAAAAGTACTCAAGTGTTCGAAAAATTTTGCATGGTCTTATTTCATAATCTATCTTTAAGAAACAGATTTCATTAAGAAAAAATCACTATCTTTAATATTTTAGTTGTAGGAAGACTGAACTTTTGCAATTTTTGAAAAATCAGAACATTTAACAAACACGAGACCTACACCATTCTCTTAAACATCCTTCACACTAACCAACAACAAAATTTAATCAAAAACGATGGTGCCATTTTTTTGAATTTGGAAAATGTCCCAGGGGCCTTATGTAAAGTATCCCTCAAAATTATAACATTCATTTCAAATTTAAGAGGCCTTCAAGAAGCGACATCAGCCAGATCTATTCGGGAATATCCGTTTTGGAGAAGATTGGCTGAATGGTTTAGCCGCTAGTTGTTCACAGACGAACAGTCAGACGATTTTCCATCATTCGATTTTTCGCTATGAATGGCCCACAATACATGGATTCTGGCTACAACACGTGCTAGAGCTTTTTTCTAAATTTAGCAACGAGATTTATCCACTTTTTCACAATAACGGCCCCGTAATAAGAGTTTTCTGCCAAAAATCTGCCGTTTTTTTGAGCAGCATTGCGTAACTTTCTCTCTACTCTGTATCGAGAAAGTAAAAACGTAATGCATAACATATAATTATAATCACTGAATTTTTTCAAAAGGTATGCACATGACAGACGATTGCTGGACATTGTGGAATTTTTTGAAAAAAATACAAATGTGAATTGAATGATTTTCTTTTGAAAAAAACAAAATGTGAATTGATATGATTTTCTATATATTTCAGCATCGACATTGGAGGGGGGGAGATAGGTAAAAGTAAGAATAGGAGGTCTCACAATTAACCTAGGCCCAAGGGCTCCAAATGCTGTTAAAAATAGCCCTGCCCAGCGGCAAGAAATGGGAAGGATTTAGTAAAAGGTTTAGGCAAAGCCCCCTGTTGGTTTAGGACGTTTCACAGGGGATTGGACTTGCCCCTATGAAGCAGGCAAACTCGTTTCAAAGATATTCGCCGAGACTAACTTCGTAGGTGAGTATTTCTCCACGAAGTTTTTATTTAGGATCCACTATTATTTTTTTCGAACAGTTGCCCTTTCATACTTAATCCTTTTCTGTTTCTCAATCGCCAGAGAACAAAATGACATTCACCGCGAAATTGTCTTGCAGTCTTTCCATCTTTTTAACTTTTTCCCCCCTTTTTCTAAAACCCCGAAGTTGGATAGGCTGGCGGACAGCTAAAGACTTGTAAACATGCCCGTCAATGAAATGGGTGTCTTTATTTCTACTATTTGGTTATTACTTTTTAGAAAAGAGTACTTATAAAATTTACTTCTATATCGAAATCGCCGACGCAAGAAGACCGTGCATTCTTATTGACCCACTTAAAGTTATCAAGATACTGTAGGAATTTGGAGAAGAAAAAGGATCAAAGAGCTCAAATGATTCGAATAAATGTTTAAACTTTCCGACTGGCACTGAACGCGTTTCAATCCAGTTCGTTCGTCAGCTGGAAAATAACTTCTCCACACAATTTACGAGTTCCATGGAAATTGTCTTTCTCGCGCACAAACCACAAATGGAAAGTTTATAGAATAGTCAAGGTTTCAGCGATATTGCTAACTTTCCTTGATTCACGTGAAACTTGTTGATTGTAAACAGAAAGCGTGCTAGCGAATTCACGAGTTTTGCCTTGTGTTCCACCGACCTCATCAAAATGCTGAAGAGAGAATGCCTTGACGGAACAGATTGTGCGAATATAAGCCTTGCGATTACATTTGTTCTTGGTGGAAAAAACTACCGTTGTTGCACACACAGTATGGAAAGCATGCGAATAGTTACATTCCATCTTCCCTGAAGGACACGTGGACGTTTTGGGAATAATAAACAAACATAAATTTAAATTTTTCCTGAAAAATGAGGCCGTCTACACGAAAATTAATTTTAAATTCGTGTTTCTGAAATTTGACATAACTTTTGACTTAATTTCTTTGTGATATTTGTCACAACTCGTAAACATAATTGAAAACGTTCAGTTTTTTACCCTAAAGCTGTCGATGTTAAAGATTATTGCATTTTTTTTTCACGAAAACGTTTATCGTTTGACAACTATGAATGAAGGTTCCTGATACCTTTTTCCGTAGTTTCAGGAATGCAAATCCTGGATATTTTTTACTTTATTCTTGAATGAACTTTATGAGTAAAATAGTTCAGTTTTCGAGAAACGCCATTAGAAATCATTTGAAGTACATATGCACAGAAATGCAATAATGTATAAAAACCGCACGTAATGTAAATATGAACGATGTGAGAGATATTTCACACAATACTACATTAGTGTTATCTGAAAAACATACGAAGAAATATTGTTTTTTGAGAAATAAACCTTTTTATACAATTGGCGTCATAACACTGAAAGTTCTAACCTTGAGAAAGCGTAGGATTCTAACACCAATTACAGCTATTAAAAAAGTCATTTATTTTTTGATCTTTTACGATTGTAAATTATGTGATGTCTATAATTGATCAACTATGTAATAAATTCATTAATTTCCCTGACTTGTTTTAAATATGAATGTTCTGTTAATTACAAGTAGTGCAAAGAATATTTTCCATCTAATTTTAAATTAATAATACCCTTTCCCTGCTTATTTTTGAATACTTACTGCATTTTTAGGTTCTTAAGACGTGTGTTTCAATACCTTAACATTCGATGACTATTAATCAATTTATATACAAATTCGTTTCTTGGGTCCGATATGTCGTTTCCGGAAGGTCGCGGAACACACTAGGTAACTTTCAAATGCCTGGACGAGGAAGGTCGCATAAGGAAAATTCATCAGTCTTCCAATGTGAACACGCGAAAGCCACGCTCCAAAGCGCACAAAGAAGAAAACATAATACAGACGACTTCGGTTATACTGAACATCTGGGGACTAACATTTTTGGTTCAATATATCGGAGGTTCAGTATATCCGTATAGGTGGTTCGCTATATCCGATAGTGCCAAAATTAAATAGAATTTTCCTCACAATTCATGATTTTATTAACACAGAGATGCAGTAAAATACAGTAACAGCGCCATCTGAACATGTCTGCTAGAATGAAGACTGCTCGGGTAAGATAATGATTTTATTAAAATCCAGACCATACTAAACGAAACTCATTCAGAAAACGTTTCCTGCAACTGTCTCAAGGTAACGCTTGCTTCATACGCTTGAAGCCATCATTCCTGCCCACTTCCTCATTTCATAAAAACGAACTAATTGGAAGCTGCACGCAAGGCGACGGAGTGGCAGACATGCGGCCTTTCAAATCCCTCCAATATTTTTTGACAAACATCTGAAGGACTGTGTGATCTGTATCAATGGTGATGATTCAACACGTTATACGTTGTTTTACGGCAGTTCTTGTAAGTGAGGTATTTGTCGAAAAAATATCCATTATGTTGTAGTATCAGGAAATTAATTTAACTCCGAGGTAGCATTGGCTCAGTCTATGCAGAGACTCTGAATGGGAGGTCCTAGGGAACGGGTCCTGGCGGGGGCACATTTCTGTCGCTCTCTGGTAGAGAATTCTAGCGACCGGCTGCTCTGATTGGCATATCCCCGTGACTTTCCAATTAACACCAGGGGAATGACGGAGAAGTATCCTAGAAAACGGGCCGCACGCGATATTTCCTTCCTTTTCCTTGTCCTGTCCTCACCCGTTATTTATACACACACACACACACACACGCACTTATTACTCGCGAAAGTTTTCTTGATACACGAGCTCCCTAGACCTCACCCAGCGTTGAATAGCACTGCACATTGAGATGCTTAGGTTCGATTCGAAAACGCACGTACCAACTTACAATGCTGCCAACAACCACCTGGTACTTTCAAAACTATCGTAGAGTTTCACGTTTGCACTCTTTGGCGAGTTAAGTTCATGTTCACTGTTGGTACGCCCTTTTAAGCCGTGACGTAGCCACATCCCACCCCTCCCCGCACACCCTGCTGTGGAATATCGAGAAAACTTGCGCGTGTAGTACAAGCGCTACACTACCATACAAGTGAGGAGACAACTCTGCGGCCTTAGAGCTTGTCCCGGCTGAAATAACGCCCCGCTGGTGGGAGATACCTGGTTGGTTAATGCCCCTAACTGACGTGTAGATCGGTAGAACACATCCCACAATTAAAAATTCACTACACTTACGGGTCGAATGACCTTAGAAGTTGTCGCGCCTGGCAACACTAAACAATCCATCAAGCAATATGTATAGTTGAAGAAATTGTAACACGCGGCCACATCTAGATGGAAACTCCAATTTTTCACGAAAAAAAGAACAGTTGCAGTAAACGAGATCCATGATACTGTAACAAGGGAACTTGTTACAGTATCATGGATCTGGTATACTGCAACTCTTCTTTTTATTCGTGTGGGGGATAATATGCGATGAAAGACCCTCAACTAAACGGAGATTTATACATTCGAATCGGCTGAGTCTTGCTCAGAGACAGCATTGCTGCTGGTTCTGTAGTGGTTCTGATGGGGGGGGGGGGAGTCTGATGGGGTTAGATCAGTGGCGGACTCTTAACACTAGCTACATAGGACGAGTCCAGCCGCTGACTTGGAGGAGAATTCTGGAGGCCGGCTGCTCTGATCGGTAGTTTTCCGTGGTTTCTCCGATCAACACCTGGCGAATACCGGCTCAGTACCTTAACAAACGGGCCACTGACCGCGCGCGATCTTACAGAGTACCACACATTCGAGGGCTTAAAGCTTGTCCCTGCTGGGGCGGTGCCCCGCTGGTGGGAGATGCCTGGTTGGGGGAATCCCCTCTAGCCGACGGGAGGTCGGCGCCGGATCTATCCATCCAGCGGGGGAAGACCACCGCCATTTCCCGAAGAAAAACATTTACGAGACCAACGATCATGCACTACACTTACGGGACTAACAATCGTACACTACACTTACGGGACTAACGAACTTAATAGTTGATACGCCCGGAATCACTAACAATCAATCAATCATCAGGAAACAATCGATTACTCCAGAGTTAAAAAAACAATCTTTACACTAACGGGAAGATGATCGCAGTCAATCCACCATTGAACTACACTTCCGTTTTTATTGCGTGGCGCGTCAGTGGCTTTCTTCACGACGGAATATCTATATTTCGCGTCTTTCTCGGTCATGCCGCTAGAGGTCGCGTGATGGCGACCGTATCAAGCAGTGCGATGTCTTTAGCGGCCCGACCGCGAAAGACGCGAAATATGGTGACGCGCCACTTTAGAAAGCATTTCAGAAACATGTAAATTGTTTATTATTTACGAAAGAAATGAATATATTTGTTCAGAAAGAAAAATTATCGCAGAAATTAAAAAAAAAAAACACCCAATTTACGCAATTCGATTGCATTTTTATTTGAGTTAATTTTTCTTTATGAACAAATATATTCCTTTCTTTTGTAAACAGTAAACAATTTACGTGTTTCTGGAGTGTTTCTATGCATTTATAATGCAAATTTTTAAATAAAAATCATTTTTTCAAACCAACTTTTGAGTGCTTATTTCGGCTCAGCCATACGGATAATCCACGTAGATTTTAGATAAAATATTCTTAAAAATGTCTTAAGAGCTTATTTTCGAAGTTTCTATGCATTTATAATACAAATTTTTATCTAGAAATATTTTTTTCAATCCTACTTTTGAGTGCTTCTTTCGGCTCAGCCATTCGAAATATCCACGTAGTTTTTAGATAAAATATTCTTTAAAATGTCTTAAATCTTGATAATTAATCTAATAATTTAATTAATTATTTTCGAAGGTTCGACGTTTCCTCCTGTATAACTCGCTCGAATGCAGCGATGAGCCCTGTAGCGGGCGGCGCGCTGCTGCTGTTTCTGCTGTCGCTCGGCGGGAGGGGAAGGGGTGGGGGCGTGCGGTGTCCCGAGGACCTGCCGCTCCGCGACCCCTCCGCGACCGCCACGCTCCACGTGGCCAAGTGCTGCGCCAAGGGCCAACAGCTCGACGCCGCCTCCGGCGGACGCAAGTGCGTGGCGATAGATGGCGCGGACGGCGCCGGGCGAGACGACGGCGCCGTGCAGTGGGAGGACGTTGCCGCCGATGCGGTCCGCGCCTGGCTGCAGGTACAGTTGGGGCGGTCACGTGACCAATCGTTTCATCACTGTTACGATATGAAAATATACACTTCTTACAAGTTGTATGAACGCGTGGTAAAGAACAATTGAAGGATGAGGAAGGAGTCCGTTACCATGGACGCAAACAGGAACGGATCCAGACAATCATTTTGGAGGGGGCCATTATAGATATTTGTTAAATAATAAAATAATTGTAATTATATTGAAAATTATTTTTGTAGACCATATATGATACTATACAATATCATTTGTAAGAAATTACATAATTTGAACAAATAAATATTTTAATCAATTTTGCCAAATAAGTTAAAAAAAACTATAAGCCTTTTTGGAGAGGGGCAGGGCCCCCATAGCCCGTCCTCGGTCCGACACTGGACGCAAGGTTGTTGAAGAGATTGGGTTGAGTTCGCGAGAGTAGTAATAGAAGTATATGGACGCCAGAATGTAGACCAGTTAAATATTAATGTGAAATTACTATTTAAAACGCAATTAGTAGCGACTTCAGGATATTGAAAGTTTGGCGGAACCTTGAGGAAGGTAATTCAGCAAGTTGATCGGTGGTTTGGAAGTAAGCGGAAGCAGGGATGCGCTCTGCAGAAGCGGAGATGGAAACATTTGCTGATTGATTCAGCTTGTAAGATATCACGAACAATATTTATGTTTTGTGTTTGCGCTTATTGTTATTATTTACATTACCAAGAGAGCAATGGTAACACAGCTGCAGCTGATTTAGTTGCTGGAGGAATTGAATTGAATTGAATTGCATTGATGCTTTATTTTACGTGGCGAGGTTCGGGCCATCAGGCTCGCTCTTCCGTCTGACCACGCAAATTTCGCTACCCTCCTTTCACTCACTAGCAGAGAAAGAAGGTATTTCTGAGCGACGAAATAAGCGATTTGAAGTTAGCTCAGAGGCTCCGTCTTTTAGGCTTGAGGATCTTTTACATGCAAGTAAATCTACTAACATGGGACAGCCGGCTTTACTTCCCCTCCGAAGGAAGGCGTACGAAGGATATACAAAGAGTTCAGTAGATTCGTTACAGTGACCAATCGTTTTATCACTCGTTTTTCCCATATTAAAATTGGGGTGTACCGGTAGAGTTTGTTCAGTCCTGTTCTGTCCTATATTCGTTTGCCTTATACTAAATTGGGGGAGGGGGAGGGAGGTAGAGGAGTTGGTTCAGTCACTTAACCAATTATGTTTACACTGGTACACGACACGCTAAATTTGAGGGAAAGGTATATACCAGTTGATTCATGTGTTGTATTTTCACACTCATTCTTACCTCACTAAATTGGCCGGGCGTGCAGGTACACTTGGATCACCCACGTGACCAATCAATTTGAGAGGTGTGTCAAGCTGGAAAAGCCATGGCTAAACACCAGAATAGATAATTTATTGCTGATTAATTGCCACAGTTTTTAATTTATTGCCACGTATTTTTGTTGAGAAAACTGGCGTGAGCGGGCTTGAGGCGAAGCCAACAATACACGTCAGTTAACTCCGAATCGTATCTCGGCAGAAGCTGAAAAATAATTTATTGCTAATTCATTGCCGTAGTTGATATTAACGAATTGTTTTCTCAACAAAATACATGGATATTTATACGACATTGTGGTAATTTATAAGCAATTATATAACACGTTTCCGTTGAGCTATGATTCGAATTCAATTTATCTGTGTGGTGACATCGCGGCAATTCAGCTCACCACGTTATAAACAAACATACGTGGCAATCAATTCAAAATTAATTAGCAATTAATTATTGGACTGTTTTTATTCGGGTGTGCTGACATGACAGTTTTAGCTTGACACTCGTTCTTGTCACTAAATTTACGAGGTGTGTTGGTGTCTGTGAGAGAGATGATCTGTAAACTGGGGTGCGATTTACAATCAGAAATAACATACAATCATGGTGTTATTTTCATCACATATTCAATACATGGATTTCTGTGCCCTTTCCAAGAAAAATCAGTCGTTGAGAGGGATAGTCCTTATTTTTCAGAGAGGTTTCCTAGTAAAGCGAAACGTAATTTTGGAGGTATTTCATAAATTGCGTAACTCTAAAGAGGGGGGGGGGTTGAAAGAGAGTAACGCTGTATAACACAGGGGAAGGTGTAATTTGTTTAGTATTACGTAACATTTATATATGTATTTTTTCACGTTTTTCAACATTTTCTGAAATAATTCGTTTTTCAGTTTTCGTAATTCAGTTCAGTTTCAGTAATTTCGTTTCTCGAGAAAATCGCTGTCATAAATTGATAATTCGTGGTACACTTGTTTGATATTTCAAAAACATTTCAATTAACCTTAAATAGTTAATTAAAATAATTAATATATGGTAGAAATCTATGAAATGAATCAAATGACGCTAACATTAAAATACGTTCTTCTGAAATTCATATTTATTATTTCATATATTTAACAAAAAACACTAACTAAACGCAACTAAATGTTTTCGCGTCTTAAGCTCGCTGTGAAAGTTGTATTATTTGATCATTATAAACTTTCACTTAAAACTATGATTTAAAATATATACTCATTTTTAAATATATACTATTATATATATACTCCTATATAAATAATATACTCCTTTTTTTTTTTTTTTTTTTTTTTTTTTTTTTTTTTTTTTTTTTTTTTTTTTTTTTTTTTTTTTTATTTCAATTTCGCAGTTGCCCGAGGATGTGGCGAACAGCAGCGCCGCGGTGCGCGTGTGGTACAACCGCAGCTGCAGTTTCCACGACGAGCTCTCCGCCGCGATGGAGGCCGACGCGGACACAGTGCGCGCTCTGTTAGCCGTCAACGGCAGCGACTCGTCCTCGCTGGTGCTGGACGCGTTCCGCGGGCGAGTGCAGCCGTTTGCCGTGTGGCGGCAGCACGTGTGCTTCGACGCGTGGAGCGACCGCCGCTGGTGGCCGCGCGTGGCGCTGACGACGCTGCGCCTGCGCACTCTGTTTAAGTGCTGCGCGCGCGCCCAGCGGCTGGACGCCGAAGGCGAGGAGTGCGTGCAGTGGCCCGGCAAGAAACCTTCCGACGAGGAGACGGAGATAATTAACCCGTGGAGGTAAAGAGGTGCAGGGGAGCTGCCATGCTTCAAGCAAATGAAAGCCGCGCACACCCCACGAAGCAATCCAGCATCCGATGTTATTGGCAATCCAACCACCGATCAAAAAATGTTGAAAAACGAAAATAATAATAATAATAATAATAATAATAATAATAATAATAATAATAATAATAATAATAATAATACTTATCAGTGTTTTGAAACTAATATCCCCTTCCCAGCCATACGCTGTTTCAATCACCACCCTCTTTAGAGTTACATAATTTATGGACGACTTTCAAAATTACGTTTCGCATTATCAGGAGACCTCTGTGAAAGACTACACTATTTAAGGACTATCCCTCTCAACGACTGATTTTTCTTGGAAAGGGCACAGATATGATACATTGAATATGTGATGAAAATAACACCATGATTGTATGTAATGCAATCCAGCCCTCCCCCCTCATTTCCATACGCAACAGGAATAACTCAAGTCGTCAATTTGAAATTCAAGTAAATAATAAAATTTTATGTTTTGAATGAAAATCTGGGGTCAAAATTAATACAGGGCGGGGGGCAAATTACCCATGGTGCAGCCCCCTCCTTTAAGGTGAAAAATTCCTATGAAAAATTCCGTTAAAATTCCACTAAAGAAAGAGCTGTAGAAAAGTTACAAAAGTAAAACTGAACAAATGCACCACACTCCTTTCTTGCCTTCTAAAGTGTGCGTCCTTTGCTGCCTTCCAAAGTGTGCCACCTTTAGCACCTACTGAAGTGTGACTTCTTTGCTGACTCCAAACTTGTGCCTTCTACGGCGAGATTCCATTGTTACCTTCAAAAGTGTGCCTCCTATTCTGCCTGCAAAAGTGTGCCACCTTTAGTACCTACTGAAGTGACTTCTTTGCTGACTCCAAACTTGGGCCTTCTAAGGCGAGATTCCATTGCTACCTTCAAAACTCAGCCTCCTTTGTTGCCTTCTGAAGTGTGCGTCCTTTGCTGCCTTCTAAAGTGTGCCACCTTTAGTACCTACTGATGTGTGCCTCCTTCGCTCCTTCCTAACGTGTGCCTCCTTCGCTCCTTCCTAATGTGTGCCTCCGTGTGCGAGCGTGCGCGCGCGCGTGCTCAGGGACCCCGAAGGCGCGTCGTGGCTGCCGCGGCGCCTGGCGTCCACGCTGCTGGAGGTGCGCTACGAGAAGGGCCCCGAGCCCAAGTGGAACCCCAAGGGCGACGCCGACGACGACGCGCTCTGGGAGTTCCGCAACGACGACAACTGGGGGTACGCGGTGTGGCGGCACGGCCCGCGCCCCGGCGACAGCCTGCTCGACGGCGTCACCACGCGCTACTGCTTCGACGCCGCCGCCCCGGCGCCCGGCGCCGCTTCGCCCTCCAAGGTACCGTCTTCACTGCGTCATTGATTTCATTGGCAAACCATTTTTTTTTTGAAGGTGTCAGACTCAATACTTGGCGCATGGTTCTTGATGTATGTCGACGCGTTGAATCCCAATCAAAAGCCAGAATTGCAACAAAAGCTTCCAGTTTTTTGAATCGCAAAAAAAAAAAACAAAAAAAACATGCTCATACTAAATTTTGGAGTCTTGTAGCACTATACTCTTCAGAAGCCCAAAGTTGTTAGACTCAAACACTTGACACTTGTTTGTCTATGTATGTTGACGCGCTAAAACCCAATCTGAAGTCAGATTTGCAACAAAATCTTCCAGTTTTTTGAATCGCAAAAAAAAAAATGCTCATACTAAATTTTGCAGTCTTGTAACACTATACTCTTCAGAAGCCCAAAGTTGTTAGACCCAAAGACTTGACACCTGTTTCTATATATATGTCGACGCGCTGAATCCCAATCTGAAGCCAGATTTGAAATCTTCCAGTGTTTTTAATCGCAAAAAAACATGCGACGACTACATATTGGAGTCTAATGCGAATCAGAAGCCAGAATTGCGCCACCATTCTCTCTTTTTTTAATTCACAGAAAAATTATCCAGAAAATCTATTTTATTTGTTTTTGTTACCGTGGGTTGTTGTCAAACCCAAGTCTTGGCACATGTTTCTCTATGTATGTCGAAGCGCTAAATCCCAATCTGAAGGCAGATTTGAAACAAAATCTTCCAGTTTTTTGAATCGCAAAAAAACATGCTCATACTAAATTTTGGAGTCTTGTAGCACTATACTCTTCAGAAGACCAAAGTTGTTAGACCTAAACACTTGACACTTGTTTCTCTATGTATGTCGACGCGCTAATTTCGAATCTGATGCCAGAATTGCGCCACCACCATCCAGTTTTTGAATAACGAAAAGTTCATACGAATACTAGATTTGGGAGTCTTCTAGCACTATACTCTTCAGAAGCCCAAAGTTGTTAGACCCAAACACTTGACACTTGTTTCTCTATGTATGTCGACGCGCTGAATCCCAATCTGAAGCCAGATTTGAAACAATATCTTCCAGTTTTTTTAATCGCAAAGCACATGTGACGACTATATTTCGGAGTCTTGTAGCATTATACTCTAGAAAAAGCAAATGTTGTCAGATTCAAGACTTGATACATGTTTCTCTACATATGTCGACGCGCAGAATCCCAAAACCCTCCAGTTTTTGAATCGCGAAAAGCACATGCAAATTCTACATTTTAAAGCCTTGCAGCACTATACTTTACAGAAGCCCAAAGTTGTTAGACACAAGACTTGACACTTGTTTCTAAGTATGTTGACGCGCTGAATCCCAATCTGAAGCCAGGATTTCAACAAAACTCTCCAGTTTTTTAAACACGAAAAGAACATGCGAATTCTACATTTTGGAGTCTTGTCGCATTATACTCTACAAGAGGCAAATGTTGTCAGACCCAAGACTTGGCACATGGTTCTCGATGTATGTCGACGCGCTGATTCCGAATCTGAAGCCAGGATTTCAACAAAACCCTCCAGTTTTTTAAACGCGAAAAGAACATGCGAATTCTACATTTTGGAGTCTTGTCGCATTATACTCTACAAAAGGCAAATGTAGTCAGATCAAAGACTTGGCACATGGTTCTCTATGTATGTCAACGCGCTGTTTCCGAATCTGATGCCAGAATTGCGCCACCATCCTCCAGTTTTTGAATCGCGAAAAGTTCATACGAATACTAGATTTTGGAGTCTTGTAGCACTATACTCTTCAGAAGCCCAAAGTTGTTTGACACAAGACTTGACACATGTTTATCTATGTATGTCGACGCGCTGAATCCCAATCTGAAGCCAGAATTGCAACAAAAACATCCAGTTTTTTTTAATCGCGAAAAACATATGCTAATACTACATTTTGGAGTCTTGTAGCTTTGTACTCTATAGAAGCCAAAAGTTGTCTAACCCACGACTTGACACATGTTGGCCCGAGTAAATTCCATCGTGAAGACAGTCCCTCACGAGGCAAGAAATAAATTTCCAAGTATAGCAGCACGACCGAGAAAGGCGCGAAATGCCGTGAGACATTCCATCTTGAAGGCAGGCCCACACGCGCCAAGAAATAAAACCCAAGTATAGCAGCACGACGGAGAAAGGCGCGAAATGCCGTGAGATATTCCATCGTCAAGACCGGTTCTCACGAACCAAGAAATAAAACCCAAGTATAGCAGCACGACCGAGAAAGACGCGAAATACCGTGAGATATTCCATCGTGAAGACAGCCCTTCACGAGGCAAGAAATAAAACCCAAGTATAGCAGCACGGCCGAGAAAGACGCGAAAATCCGTGTGATATTCCATCGTGAAGACCGGTCCTCGCGTGCCTGGAAATAAAAACCTAAGTATAGCAGCACGACCGAGAAAGGCGCGAAATGCCGTGTGATATTCCATCGTGAAGACAGGCCCTCACGCGCCAAGAAATAAAACCCAAGTATAGCAGCACGGCCGAGAAAGGCGCGAAATGCCGTGAGATATTCCATCGTCAAGACCGGTTCTCACGAACCAAGAAATAAAACCTAAGTATAGCAGCACGGCCGAGAAAGGTGCGAAATGCCGTGTGATATTCCATCGTGAAGACCGGTCCTCACGCGCCTGGAAATAAAAACCTAAGCATAGATGCACGACCGAGAAATGCGCGAAATGGCGTGTGACATTCCATCTTGAAGGCAGGCCCACACGCGCCAAGAAATAAAACCCAAGTATAGCAGCACGGCCGAGAAAGGCGCGTGAGATATTCCATCGCGAAGACCGGCCATCACGAACGAAATAAAATGCAAAGAATAATCCGTAGAGTGTCGTTTGCTCCGCAGGTGCTGGTGACGAAGGCGCCCAAGGCGAACAAGTGCTGCCGCAGGGGCGAGAGCCTCGACGCGCGCGCGCTCTACTGTCAGCCGTCGCCCGGCAGCCCGACGCCCGACGCCTCGCTCGGCCACGACGACGAGCAGGAGGTCAACTTCGCCCCCGAACGCAGGTACTCGCCACTAGGGATGCCACTTCTTCTGTGGTCCTATCCCTTTGGCAAGATAGGTGACTTGTTGCGGGTTTTCTTTTGATGAATTACTCAGGGTGTGAGAGTGTATGTTTCCGCGGCTGGAGTCAGTATTTACTAGGCTGTCCGGGTGACGCCGCGTCCGTGGCGAAGGTGCCGACGTTTCGGTCGCCATTCTGCGGCCTTCTGCATTACGCCCTGAGGAAGGTCGCAGAATGGAGACCGAGACATTGGCACCTTCGCCATGGACACGGCGTCACCCGGACAGCCTAGTAAATACTTACTTAGGGCGGTTTCCCGTTGCCTTCCCTGAGTTTTCGACCCAGGCCTTATATAATATATATTTTTAATTTGGGGATACTTTTCATGAAGTCCCTCGGACATTTTCAAAACTTCCAAAAACATAGCTCCATCGTGCATTCTTGGCTATCCGGGATGAGCCGAGTCTAGGTCAATTGTACTGACGTTTCGACCATCTTGCTGTGGTCTTCTTCAGAGCTATACTGCTTCAGTATAGCTCTGAACTTCAGGAACTAGGAACTTCAGCAGCATAGCTCCGAAGAAGGCCACAGCAAGATGGCCGAAACGTCAGTACTATTGACCGAGACGCGGCTCATCCCGGATAGCCAAGAATGCAAAATTTATGTTGATTATTTTGTGAGCCAAGCCAATGTATTGACTCCGGCCGCGGGAACATACAAACCCATATGGCTCCAACGTTTTTTATTAAATTCTGTTATTGGATAGTGTGAAAGGCGTTTGAGAGAACGGTGCAGGTCTCATGTTCGTTGAAAACCCTGATTTTTCCAAAATTGCAAAAAGGTTAAAATTTTTCGGAATCTTCCTACAACTAAAATATTAAAGATAGATATTTTGCAATTCAAGGAGTCTGTTCTTAAAGATATATTTTGAAACAAGATCATTAACTATCTTTCGAAAATGTGTGTACTTGTCGTGTAATTTTGCGTGAAAATACGGGGGGGGGGATAGTACGTGTTGTTTCAGTACCCCAACAGAACCGGCTGCGTGTAAGCGACTCTGACAGCTCTCTCACCACATGCTGTGGCATGTCATGTTAACTGGAAGTAGTCGGAAGTGTCGGAAGTAGTCAGCTTGAGAGGTTTTGTTTACTTTCTTATACCGGCTGCGTATAAGCGACTCTGACAGTTCTCTCACCGCATGCTGTCGCACGTCATGTTACCGGCTCGGAAGTAGTCAGCTCGCGAGGATTTGTTTTCTTTCCCACAGCCAGGGTTCGGCGTTGACGCTCGCACGAAGTCGCGCAGGCATGCACATGTACAACTTCTGCGAAAGTTATGAACACGATATCAAGACGAGTCATTGTCAGTAAGTGTTAATTTTAACACTCGTTCAAATTTTGATTAGATTGTCTATTTTAGTTTAATTATAAGAAATATGTCCATTTAGACAATCACCTTTATTTCAATCAGTTACAACAAAAAAAGCTAAAAATTAAAAGAGGCTAAAATATTGTTTTATTATATTTTATTTATTTTTATTTATATTCTTCAAATGAAAATAATATGAACATAATATAATAATATTTTATCCCCATTAATTTTTCTGTTTTATTTTGTTTAAATCATTTAAATAAAGATGGGTGTCAAAACAAATGGACCTATTACTTATAATTAAAGCAAGTGTTAACGTTTTGAGGTTTAATGTATCTGTGACGTAAGTGTTGCCATGTGCAAAATAATGTGTGGTATGAATAAAAGTATGCAAGTACTCTTTGCTCCGAGTTTCCTAGATCGTACTCAGTTTCGTATGTTAAGCGTTTACTCTCTATAGTGAGCACTTGCTCCAAAATTTTGGAGGGACCTTAGTAGCAGAATCACGTTTGAAAAGTAAGGTTAAATTGGCCGATTTTTTACCCTGTGTTGATATGCACATGCAGCGGACTAAAAAAATTCAAGATAAGGCGAAATTCTCGTAATGTAGACTACTAGAATCTTTGCCGATTCGAAAAGGACAATGTATGGTCGGTAGATTTTTATCGGCGTTTGCTTTCAGACGCGTTTTCATATTGCATATCTTCTATGTTAATTGGCCATCGCTCTTATCTACTTGGAATTTTTCGGGGCTCTGTTTTTGGAACTTTGTAATGTTTCGTTTCGGCCAGAGCGTACCTCCGAAAGCTGGCTCTTTTCAAAAATAATTTTATATTCATTTAGCATTTCGCAAAAATTAGCTGGGACTCTAGCGCCTGTTTTTCGTTACTGCTATTCATATTCGAATTTAAAGAATGAGACAACAAAATATTGCTCTTTATTCCGCACAAATGTGCGCGACGCGCGTAACGTATGTAACCTCTTTGTTGCCTAAGAAACCAACTTTTAAAACTCAGCCTGCACTATCACTTGTCCACGACGAGCTAATGCTCGCGAGACATGAGTTAATTCTTCGGAGACATACGAAGTTTTTATTCGTACGAAATGGAGCTTCTGCTCAGTGCCGCGGAGTAGACTCACTTTGCTCCGGAGCAAGTACTCCTGAGCAAGTGCTCATTTTTATTCATATGACCCATTGTGTGGCAACAGAGAATTGAACTGTCGGAGTCACTTACACGCTGCCGGTTCCGAAAACTTGGAGACTGACGGTGAGGGCGGGGCAGGATTGTCAAAACCAATGGACGTATTACTTATAATTAAAGTAAGGGTTGACGTTTCGAGATTTAATGTGTCTGTTCTGAAAGTGCTGTCATGCGCAAAACAATGTGTGGCAACAGAGAATTGAACTGTCGGAGTCGGTTCCACGCTGCCGGTTCCGAAAACTTGGAGACTGATGGGTCGTGCCCAGCGCGCAGGAGAGTCTAAAATGTTGATTTACTATGTTCCTATTCTTCAAATAAAAATAAAATGAACATAATATTACAATATGCTATCCCCATTAATTTTTCCGTTTTATTTTGTTGTACTTGATTTTAATAACTGGGATTGACAAACCAAATGGACGCGTTACGTGTAACTAAAGTAGCTGGTGGCGTGCGCAGCGCGCAGGCGTGGCTGCCGACGACGCTGCGCGGCGGCCGGGTGCCCGTGCGCTACCTCGCCCCGAGCGACCGCCGCTCCCTGCTGGCGTCGCCGCAGCGCCAGGTGCTGGCGGCGGGCGACGGCGAGGGCGGTTGGCGCCTGCAGAGCTTTCGCTACGACGTACCCACGCTGCTCGTCGCTGCCCGCGCCGCCTCGGGTGAGACGCGAGCGATTGGCCGTTAGTGAGGAATGAGATGAGACGCATTCTGCATTCCAACTGCAATTGGGTCTAACCCAGTGGTAGCTAATTTTAGAAATATGATACATCTCACACACAAATTGTAGAGTAATAATAATAATGTACAATAATAATCATAGTAACAACCGCTGTTGACCATCAACCAATACCAGAATCAACCAGTCCCCGAATACAATCAATAAAGAGATGAATGACCATAACAGTCCTCGTGTCCGAAATATCAATTAATCTCAGACAAAATATTGACAACAGTAACGAGACTAATGCCCATCAATCAGTCCCGGAAGTCCATCAATAAAGAGACGAATGATTATAATAGTCCTCCTGTCAGAAACATCAATTAATCTCAGATAAAGTATTGACTACAGTGACGAGACTGATGACCATCACTCAATACCAGAATCGACCAGGCCCGGAATACACTCAATAACGAGACGAATGACTGTCAATCAGTCCCGGATTACAATAAATAAAGAAATAAATGACAATAACAGTCCTCGTTTCCGAAACATCAATTATTCTCAGATAAAGTATTGACTACAGTGACGAGACTGATGACCATCACTCAATATCAGAATCTATCAGCCCCGGACTACAATAAATAACCATACTAATGCCATCACTCAGTCGCGGCGCGCCATCCGTAACGAGCCAAATGAGCCTAGCAGTCGCTTTGGTGCGTTCGGCGCAGGGGCGGCGGTGACGGCGCGCGCGCGGCGCTTCTGCATCGACGCCGTGGCCGCGGGCCCGCTGGCGCCGCGCGTGCTGGTGGCAGACCTGTGCGACGTCACCGGCTTCGGCTGCCTGCCCAAGTGCTGCCCGCCCGGCGAGCTGCTCTCCGCCGCCGGACGCTGCGTCCCGCACGGTAATGTGCGATTTGCTTTAGAATGTGATGATTCCACAGCTAGTGCTGCCAACACAGCTGACGATTCTGAGGTCCTTGAACTTATTAGACTCTCTTTCCTCCATTCGTTCGTTTGCAGTTGGCTAACTTGTAAATGGCTTCGACTCTTCTTTTTGTGATGTTCTCGTCCCACGAGAATACGAGAAATAATTGAAATTAGGAAATGCAGAGCTTTGCTCTCTTCTGTAAAAATTCTTTTTTAAAAATAAAAATTACACTGAATTTCGTTTTTATGTGATAAGTATTATGTTTGTTTGAAAATCGAGTCTTGAATGTGAGATGCGTACTCGTGACGGTGCACGTGTTTCCGGCAGCTGCGCAGTGTGGCGACTGGCGACCAGTGTTTGGGAGATTCTCGTGATATCGTGCTGGACATTTGAGTTATGAGAGCATTGTACCAAGTTTTGATAGTCGGGGTGTTATAATATTTTATTTTTTATTTAATAGGTAATTATTACAGACAAAATTAGTTAACTTGATCCTATGTGGCTAG